GACGGGCCTCGAAGCGGCCACCCGGCCTCACATGGCGTTCTGCCAAGCCTTCCCAGCACACCTAGGGCGATCAGGGGGGTCATCGGAGACGTCCCAAGGACCCCCAAGACAGCACAAGAGCGCTCCAAGAGTGGCCGACGTGACCTCAGGATGGCCCAAGAGGCCTCCAGGACGGCCCCAAAGAGGCCTCCAAGAGCACTCCCAAAGGCCCCCCGAGGCAAAAATCATTGATTTTCTGTGGGTTGTTGGTGAATTTTAGGGTTCTCCTCTTTTCGGCTTCCCGACGCTCCAAGACGGCGGTCTTCTGGGCGTCCGAAGCCGCCTGGGAGGCTCCCAAATCGCCCCACAACCATCCGAAAGGGCTTCCAGGCAGTCCAAGAGAGCCCCAAAACGGCACAACACGGGTCCAAGATGGCCCTCAGAGAGCCCCATGGCGGCCCAAGACGGCCCAAAGACACCCTCCGAAGAATTCCAAATCGTGATTCGGTCGTTCAAGGAGACCGCGGTTGGAGGCAGGGTGGCCCGAGGAAGCCCCCGGAGGCCGCCAGAATACGCCCAGGAGGTCTCCAGAAGGCGTTAAGAAAGCCTGAAACAACTTTTGTGAGGCCCCTAGAGGCTCTCCTGTGTGTGTTTGTTTACACACACACACACATATACACATATACAAATACATAACTATATTAATAACACATATGCATATACATAGTTGTTTATATACACACAAGACTGCAGTGGCGCTTCGCGCCATGCACCTGGGTGCTTGAGGTTTGGCATGCAGGCGGAATAGCAGGAAATCAAGCCGACGATTTAGCAACAACTCCTTGTTGCCTTGTCCGGCATCGCCGCTATAATAATGTTTTTCGTTATCCTTCCTCCATGTGTTTTTTCTCCTTATTTTCGCCATACCCTGAGCATTCTCCCCAGCCTCCTCAGCTTTTTTGTCGCGGAGGCTCCTTTTTGGAGAGCCTCTAGGGGCCTCACAAAAGTTGTTTCAGGCTTTCTTAAGGCCTTCTGGAGGCCTCCTGGGCGTATTCTGGGGGCCTCCGGGGGCTTCCTCGGGCCACCCTGCCTCCAACCGCGGTCTCCCTGAACGACCGAATCACGATTTGGAATCCTTCGGAGAGTGTCTGTGGGCCATTTTGGGCCGCCATGGGGCCCTCTGAGGGCCATCTTGGGCCCGTGTTGTGCCGTTTTGCCTGGAATCCCTTACGGATGTTTGTGGGGCGATTCTGGAGCCTCCCAGGTGGCTTCGGACGCCCAGAAGACTGCCGTCTTGGAGCGTCGGGAAGCCGAAAAGAGGAGAGCCCCAAAATTCACCAAAAACCTACAGAAAATCAATTATTTGTGCCGCGGGAGCCTTCCTGGGAGTGCTCTTGGAGGCCTCTTTGGGGCCGTCCTGGAGGCCTCTTGGGCCATCTTGAGGTCACGTCGGTCACTCTTTGAGCGCTCTTGTGCTGTCTTGGGGGTCCTTGGGACGTCTCCGATGACCCCCCTGATCGCCCTAGGTGTGCTGGGAAGGCTTGGCAAAACGCCCTGCGAGGCCCGGTGGCCGCTTTGAGGCCCTTCAAGAGGGTCCCGAAGCCCCAGATCCCGGGAGTCCGGTTTTGAGGGGGGGGGAAAGGTTTTCCCTTTGCCCTGGTTTGTAAAAATATAGGAAGAAGAATATATATATATATATATATATATATATATACATACATACATACATACATACATACATACATACATACATATATACATACATACATGCATGCATGCATGCATGCATGCATGCATACATATACATATGTATATATATACACATACATATATACCTATATACATATATACATATATACATGTATACATATATGCATATACACACCGATATAGATACCCGCAAAGCCCGAATACCGGTACGACGACGGCAAAACAGGGGCAGGGGATAGCGGCGATGACTCTCTTTACGGGCGGCGAGGCTGGGAGCCGGTCCCACGAACTTGATGCCGCAGAGTGGTGGGTGGGTGGGTTGTCCAAATCGGACGAACGCCTAAGCCCAATTGGCGACGAGCGTCGGGCAGAGAAAGGGGACACACTGTCGTGCTGGCACATGGGGGCGCGTCCTCGCATAGCCCTATAAGCGGTGCGACGGCGGCCAAAAAATACAAAAAAAACATG